CGTTGTCCCTGCTGTCTGGGAGGCTGCCATTGGAAGGATTTAAAGGTGAAGCGAGGTGGAAGAGTGTGTGGGAGATCTTCCTAAGATGGAGTGGTGGACGCGGCAGTGCATGCCTGTTATTCTCACGATGACAGACGGCGTGCCTGAACGCAGTCAGGATCTCAAAGGGAGCCAGCAAAATTCAGGGCTGGGGGTGTGGTTCCGCAGTAAAAGCACCTGCCTCGTGAGTGTGAGATCCTCAGCTCAAGTCCCAGAAAACACACACACAAACACACACTCCCTAAATGTCACTATTACTTTCACCAAGATGTAGCCCTGGTATCTCCCAGGGCGGAAAGGAGGGCGGTCATCTGCGTCAAGCATTCCGCGCAGACCACAGGCAGGGGCCTCCAACGGGTCAGCCCTCCCTTCCCAGCTGCAACCCCCAAAGCAGAGAAACCCATTTTCTATATTTCATCTCCGAGCCCATCACGCTGAGCTAAGTGGCTGGGAATAAACTCCCATCATCACGCCTGTGCTGAGCGATGTTTGTTAGTCTAGATGGTGACAGAAATCTATATCACACTGATGCACTATTAATACTGCACCAGGCACGCAGAATCTCTGCTCCCTTCTGCAGCTGGGAAACTGGCCTCGGCAGCTCTTTTTGTTTTTGTTTTTTTCCAGAAAAGGCAAGCTCTGTGACTGATTGGCCTGGAGGAGAAGGAGGCACTAGCTCAGTCCCAACTCAAGAGACAGTCCTCGGACCAAGCCTCTCCAGCTCTGACAAGAGGCTCTTGCCTTGTGAGCTGGTATGTTGGGTATGGGGAGAAACGGAAAGAAACTAAGGCTGAGCCCTCTGAATGGCTGTGTGGTAGCCAATGGGGTGTAAGGGAAGATGGGCCTGCTCTAGACCCGGGGCCTAGTACTTAGTAGAGCTTCAGTGCACGTCTGCGGACTGAGCATAGGAAGGAAGCAAAGGAACCAACAGAGGATGGATTTTTTGTGGTTGTTAATCTCAAGAGAGTGAGGCCTAAGAAGGCCTCGGGTCGGAGTTACCAGCTCACCTGGTTGGGTCTGTAACAGTTGTAAGAACAGGGGAAAGAAGGGTAGGGGTTTCCAACCAGGAGACAGAATCACACGGGGGCCAACTTGAAAGAGACAGGGGTGTAGGGGGGGTGGAGATGAGGGCCATCAGCAAGACCTCAGGGAAAGCTAAGAGGGAAAGAGATCCAGGAGTGTGGAGAGGGCCGGGCTGGAGACCGGCCTCCTGGGAAACCTCTGGAAAGCCTCCTGGGAAACCTCCACAGGGAAAAGGGTGGTTTGGGCTGGTGATCAAGGCATGCCCGTTGCTTTGGGCCTCTGGTGGAGGTGCCAGGCAGCTGACGGGAGAAGCCCAGGACCTCGTGGCACCCCCCCACACACACACACGGCTCCCTGCTTCCCAGGCACCCCCTGGGCGTCTCATTCTGTGGGGCTCAGCCCAAGGGAAACTCCCCCCGGCTGTGTGATCGGAGAAGCCTTTCCTGGTGCCTCAGACAATCCAGGGGCTTTACATTAACAATCAGAAGTGCCTCAATTAGGAAGCTTAAGTGGGGGGGGGTGCAAGGCCGAATCCGCACACCTTGATTCCTCCCCCTTTGAGGATATTCAGGAAGGCGTGATACATTCCCACCAGCGGGGAGGGAGTAGAAAATAAAGATAGCGTCGGGTGCGTCTGGTGGGCAACACCGGAGGGGGCTCGGGCATCTGATCAGGTGCGGGCACCAGGCCATCGTCGAGTACCCCTGGCTGCCTGATGCATGCATGGAGAGCAACACGACACACCAGATTAGAGACAGATAGGACGCGGGGAGCAGAGGGGCGACCGGCCCCCGAAAGCACTCCAGTCAGAAAAGATCTCGGCGCCGGGCGAACCCCATCCTCTCCCTCACTCCCCCATTGCTGCCACCAGCCCCCCCACAGGGGTGGGGTCCCCCCAGCTTCTGTCGGCAGCACCAGAGCTGTCCCGTGCACGTAACAAGACTCCTGGGGCACACGGGGATGTTTCCGAAGCCTTTACCCCACTGCCTCTCTGCCGGTGAGCCCCCCCCTCCGAGGATGGCCTGGCGGGGAGGGGGGAGGGCTGCTGAGTCACCCGCAGCCGGCCCGTGCCCGTGGCTCTGCCACAGTGATGTAAGCCCCGCGTGCTTTCTGTGAGAGCCATCCGCCATGTTGCTGGTGGCAACGAGACACCCCTTGGGCCTGGAGAGGCAACCCCTTCCTGACACCGGAGCTCTGAGCAGCTAGACTCACCACATCCCTCTGATGAGCCCCTGCTGGCTCCCTTCCCGTCCTCCGCCGCCGCCGCGGCCTGGTCCTCTCCGTCCACCCCTCCTTGCTGGCACGGGCGCCGGCCCGACTCCCTAGCGAGAGCACACTGCGTCCCACGCTCAGAGAGCCATGGAAGGAAAGCCCAGCCCACGTCTGGATCTCCCGGCGAGGGAGCTCCGTGGCCGTGTGCTGTACGCAGGCTGACGCTGAGACGCTCACCGGCTCTCCCCACCGGCCACCACTGCGTGCTTGTGAATTTCCTCCCCACTGAAGTCCACGTGCAATCCCCAAACCAATCCCTCAGTGCCTGCACAGCCAGTGCAAAGTGACAAGAACCTCGAATGGCCCAGGTGGCTGCCACCAGCTCAGACTGCGCACGGGGTGCCTCGCCTGCTCTTCCCAGCTACTCTGAGGATCGGGGTTCAAAGCCAGCCTAGGCAGGAAAGTCTGTGAGACTCTTATCCCCAATGATCCACCAGGAAAACAGAAACGGTGCTGCAGCTCAGTGTGGTAAAGCGCTAGCCTTGAGCAAAACAAACAGCTCAGGGAAAGCCGCCCAGGCCCTGAGTTCAAGTCCATGACTGACCAAAAAAAAAAAAGAATCCAGGTGCTGCTGGCTCACATCTCTCCAGAAGCAGAGATTTGAGGGTCATGGTTCAAAAACCAGCCCTGGCAGACAAATCTGAGAGACTCTAATCTCCCATTAACCAGCAAAAAATGCTGGAAGTACAGCTGTGGCTCAAGTGATCGAGCACCAGCTTTGAGCAAAAAAAAGCAAGGGACTGTGCGTAGGCCCTTGCATTCAAATTCCAGTACCAACACACACACACACACACACATCAAAAAAGTGTACCTTCGGTGTTTATCATCCTTCTCAGGATGACATTTTCCAGTTGGGGGCTTTTTCAAGAGGTGGCGGAGGTGATTTTGTGTTTCAAGATGTTGGCTAAGCCCAGCTCTAAACCACCACCTGGGGACAGCCGAGCTGAGAGAGGATCGCATCACGGGAGGGGCTTAGATCAGCCGGAGCTACGGCGCCATCGGCCACCAGTCCCGGAGACAGTCCCACGTCCCGCAGACAGTGGTACGAAGGAGCACGTACAGCACGCGGAGTGACAGGCTGCTTCGCTGATGGCACACTGTGAGAGGGGGACTTGCGGGACCCTAAGGCTGCATTTTCCCCTCGGGGCCGGGATTGGGGTTGTCTCGTTCGCAGTGTAGATGTGAACTAGCTTGGATAACAAGGACCGCACCCATAGTCAACGCAGCGGGGGCTGCCTCTGCCCGAGTCCAGCGGCACCCCACATCCCTCCCTTCACAGCGGCCCAGACAGGCTTTCCTTCTGCCCACGCCCAGCCAGTCCTACAAGGAGCCTGACCTGAATCGAGACGGTTTAGCCAGAACACAAGCCCGGAAGTGTTGATCGATTTCTGCTGCGCATCTGAAACACGAATACCTTTCTTCCTCGCCCAGCCCTTGTCCAGAGCCCAGGTATTCTTCCTCTCGTCAATACCGAGGCCGCTTTTGGAGGAGACTCAAGGTTGAGAGGTAGATGGTGGCCTAGTCCTGAATCTAGTCCGGTCCCCCCACCCCGACCCCGTACCCTCCCTCCCCGGGGGGGGGGGGAAGGCCACCCTCACGCTGGCCTTGGAGTTACAGAAATAGAAGCAGAGTCTGAGAGGGCAGAGCCCAAAGGCCCCCCCCGGACTGCAGGATGATTCAACGGGAACAGCAACTATTCTGTGAGCTACGCAAGTGCCTGGCCCAAGTACAGAGAGCGGGGAGCAAGACCAGAACGAAACCCTACGCTAGGCCTGTCCAGGACAGAAAGAGATGTGAAGAGAAGCCACAGGCAGGCAGCCTGGGGGACGGAGAGGGGGAGGAGGCACTCACAGCCCCCCAAAAGCTCCGTGCCCCTGGCTGCAGGGTAAGGCTATGACCCAGCTCCTTGCTTGAGTCCCTACCAGCTCTCGGTCAGTCCCTTGCGTCCCAGCTCTCCTGGGCGGGGAGGGGGAAGGCCTCCCTTGAAAACAGGGGGAAAGAAAAGAGGTCATACCTAGGGACACAGCAAGGGGGAATGGATGGAGGATGGAGGGACAAGCCACCGACTTCCAGCAGCTCAGAAGGGGATGGTGTGGGGGGCTCAGCAGAAATGCGAGAAGAAAGGGCTATGAGCGGCAGGAGGTGGGAGATGAGGAGGCGTCGCAGGGCCGCCAAGGTTCCCGGCAGTCGGATGGTGTTCCTACTCTCCAGGGGTCGGGAGGGGCAGCTACGGGGATGTTCCCATCCGAGGTACGGACTGCCCTGCCCTTCCTCCACTTCCCCTCCCACAGAGACCTGGACGGACACTCTGGTGACCTCGGGGCTGTGGTCTCGACAGACTCAGGCTGTATCGGTCCTAACTCCTAGGCCAGGTCTACAGAGAGGACCGGCCTGTCTAGGTGTCCTGACTCATGGGGACAGCGTTCCCCCTGTCCAGAGCCCCCGGGCAGCCCTGGTTGAACCAGAGAGGGAAGTAGGCTCCCATCGGTGTCCCTCCCTTCCCCAGGGACCCTGACCACTGCCATCCTCCTGCCTCAGGTGGCCTCCACATTCTGAGATAAAGGGAGGGGGAAGTTGGCAGTAGGTTCCAGAACCCCGGCTACACGGCCCGTGGCCGTGCCACCCGGCCTCCCCGGAAGGGGTGGGACCCGGTACCCGGTACTCACAGGTGTCCGGCTTGTGGCAGTTGTGGCCCTGGCGGAAGTACTGGGGGTTCTCGATGACGGGCAGGCGGGTCATGCCGATGACCACCGTGTCGGGCCCCGCGTCCAGGGAGGAGGGGGTGGTGATGCCGTGGTTGATGTGGTGCAGAGGGCTGGCTGAGTCCTCCTCGCCGCTGATGACGGCCACGGGACCTGCACACACCAGGAGAGACACGGGACCCCGGTGAGGTCACCTCTGGTCCTTCCCTGCCCTGCCCGCAGCTCCCGGCTCCTCCCACCACAACTTCTGCGAGAGAGAGTCCCGCTAGGAGAGGACCCCCCCCACCCCCTGCCCCACCTGCTCTGAATGCCGAGTTCAGAGCATGTCACCCGTCCCTTCACCACAGAACCCACGGAAGACAGAACTGAATCGCTGTGACGTGCATCTCCATTTCCTCCTCTTTGGGCAGAGCTGGGGATTGAACTCAAGGCTTCGCACTTGCTAAGCAGGTACTCTACCACGGAGCCACCGCACCCAGCTACTCGTTGGTTGAGAGCAAGTCTCGTAAACGTTTACGCCCCAGTTGTGCCTCAGTTTCCCCTCTCGCGTCCACCCGTGTAGCCAGGATTGCAAACCCGAGCCACTGCACTAGTCCAAAATAACGAGTTTAAAAAAAAAAAGTAATAAGCTTGTTTGCTTAAGTAGCAGTGCAGGGTTTGTTGTTTTTCTTTTTTAAAAAAATGTCCCGACTGATTTGTGCTCTATCTCGTTTCCTTGGGAACTTTACTACTGACGTTGGGCTCTTCCCACAGGGCTTCAGATTCAGTCGGTGCCCAAGGGTAGCACCCAGGCATCAAGACAGGAGACGCTGTCTACCTGAGCCCCAAGAACAGGCCAGATAGCGTCACTGGTGAGAGGCTTAGAGAGGCCCGGAGCCTCTCAGCATGGCTCAGGTTCCGGGAGGGGGGTGTGTGGCCTCCACTGGACTCTGCCACAACCCCTTCCTCACCCAACCAGAGCCAGGTCTCCCAAAGGACAGTCGCTATCAGCCTGATGTTAGGTGGCCTGCTGACCCCCCCTTCCACCTCCCCACCCCCTGCCCCCAAAACCCTTAAAGACAGCGTTCACATCTCTACCCACCCCAGCTCCACCACCATCTACCCCCAAAGAAACCCAGGGATGACCTCTAAGCACAACCTGACCCAAATCACAAGCGTGGCCTGTCCTGGCTGGACAATGACCATGTCTGATGCCGCGATCCCCCCCAGAGACAAAATACCACTCCTGCGGAGAGAACCAGCCGGGGCCGTGTGTGGCTCTGTACGAGCAGCAGTGTTGTCGACGACGGCGATGGTGATCGCTTCGCCAGGCACCGGGTCCCCAGACAGAGAGCCCGCTGTGCTGCGGCCTGCAGCTCCAGCGGGATTTCTACTGTGGAAATCCATTACAGCCTGCTGGAGTTTATGGGGAGCATATTTCGCACTGAACAGCGAGGCGGAGCACCAATGAGGCAGAACTAAGTGGAAAGACGCACAGGCGACGCCGAAGGACGCTGAATTCCACTCCGTCAGCACGGACAGCCTTATTCCAATCCATGACAAATGGCTGGCTGTTTATAGACTGTGTGCAAAAGTAGCAATAAGTGGTTGGCCAAATGCTCGCCATAATCACCTGTTTTCCATCCCGGAAAACACCTCATAAACTTCCTGAAGAACTTCACAGTGACCTCCCGCAAAACAAGGAAAACTAAGCACCGGTCTCCACCCTGGGCCCTCCCCAGGTCTGAGCCAGGAGCCGGTGGCTCACGTCTGTCATTCTGGCTATTCCGGAGGCTGAGATCTGAGGATCTCAGTTAGACGCCAGCCTGGGCAGGAAAGTCCACGAGACTCTGATTCTCCAATTAGTCAGCAAAAAGATGAAAGTAGAGCTGTGGCTCAAATGGTAGGGCACCAGCCTTGAGCAAAAAAAAAAGCTAAGGGATCCTGTGTTCCAGCTCTAGTACTGGCAGGCACAAGAAAAAGAAAGACGTTATTTGTGTACAAAGAAGGAGAAGAAAGAAGGTACGTCAAAGGACAGTGGGCGGCAAAGGCGTGGCCCAGCAGGGCCCTGCGTGCAGGGGGAGGCCCAGGAAGAGCTCCATGGGGAGCACTCGGTGCTTAAAGCACTAGAGCACCCAGGAAGACTGGAGCGAGGCTTGTGGCTGACAATGCATTCAATGTTTAGTTAGTTAGTTTAGCAGTACTAGGGTGTGAACTGTGGGCCTTGAACTTGCTAAGCAGGTGCTCTACCGCATGAGCCATGCTTCCTCCAGTGCTTTTTGAACACTGGCTATTTGGAATAGGGTCTCGCCTTTGGACCCAGCACATACCTGAACCGTGATCATAGCTGGGGTGCTAGGCACGTGCCATCATGCCCAAGGTGGCCAGATCCCCAGGGCGGGTGAGCAAAAGCAGCCGGGGCCGCTGTTTTCCGACCTCACGCCTGCTCACGAGCGAGCGGTCCTCACACGTCCACTCCTGACCACACAGCTGCGCCGTGCCAGGATACACACCGAGAGGCAGAAGGCCCTCCTCGGAGACCCCCTGGGGGTCCAACTTCTGAGAGGGGCTCTCGGGGACCCACTTCCACCCGGCTCTCACCACACACGCCTCTCCCCAAGGCCTGTTCAGACCTGTGGCGGGGTCCTGCTGCCACCCAGAGCTTCTAGACGGCTAGGAGCTCATCCAAGCCCCACCCAAGAGCCTCTCACCCGGCGGGGTGGGAAGGAAGGTCTCTGCGGAGCCTTTCCCCCCCACTCCTCCTTTCCCTTCCCTTGGGAAAATAAAATAAAACAAGGGAATGGCTTGGTGATTCGCAGGTGGTGGATTCACAAGGTGGGATCTGGTTTGGTGACAACCGGGAAGAGAGACCTCTATTGGCCCAAGCAGGATGGGCCCCAGACACGGGTTGGGGGGGGGGCAGGGGGAGATGGGATACCAAGCCAGGGCTGCGATTGCCGGAAGGAATCGGGAGTTGTCGGACTCTTCTGCGGAAATCTCTGGCGATACCCGGGCACTTTGTCCGCCCCTGAGCTCACAGTGGGAAAGAGGAGGGTCCAGGGAAGCTGGCCCCAAGGAGATTCAGTCCCTGCCCAACACTACAGAATCTGCCCGGACAGCGTGCACACGTGGCTCTTCCCTTAACACCAGAGAACAACTCAGAGCCCCCCCCCCCAGGCTTCTAACAAAAAGGAACGGGAAGGGTAAAATAAAGGGATATTGGTTAAACAGCTATCTCGTCTCTGATAGGTTTCTGGGCCTCTATTCCCATCTCCTCTGACCCTCAAACACTACGGCCACTCTCGTTTGATTGGCAAGAAAACTCATCCTCAAATTAGTCTCGTGAGTTTCCAACCCAGCCTACTGGGTGCCGCGGTGCATGTTTGTAATCCCAGCCACTTGGGAATCTGAGGTCATGAGAGCGGTGATCTGAGGCCAGACTGCGCAAAAAGCTCCCAGGGACAGATCTCAGCCAATGAGATCTAGTACAGCGGAGTAGGACTCAGGAAGTATAAATAGGAGGAAGATCATGTCCCAACACAGTGTAAAAGTGAGACTCTTTAAGCCGGGCGCCACTGGCTCACGCCTGTCATCCTAGCTACTCCAGAGACTGAGATCTGAGGATCGAGGTTCAAAGCCAGCCCAGGCAGTAAAGTCCATGAGACTCTTATCTCCAATAAACCACCAGAAAACAGGAAGTAGCACTGTGGCTCAAGTGGTAGAGCGCTCAGGTTGAGCTGAAGAGCTGAGGGACAGCGCCCAGGCCCTGAGTTCAAGTCCCACGACTGACAAAAAACAAAGTGAGCCTCTATCTAAAAAGTAACCAGAGCAACAAGGGCTGAGGGTGTGGTTCAGGGGGTACAACACTACTTAGTTGACAAGCAAGCACAAAGCCCTCACTATGAAATGAAGAAGCATCAAACAAACCAATCCACCAATGGATCCATCACCCAACCGGGAAGTGGATGATATCTGAGAGCGCATTTATTCATCTCCGTCTCCTAAGACTTTCCTCTTTCCGTCTGACCGTACATTTTCTCCTCAAGCGTGGCTGAAACTAAGTGTTTGGGCTCACAGGTCTGGGTGTGAATCCAGGGGGGCCTGGATCCATCCCAACACATCTAAGGACATGCCCTCCACTGTGGGCCTGCCGGACAGCTGTGGAAGGTAGGGTTTAAAGTTGAATTGTAAAATCCGAAGGCCAGAACCTTCCACGTCAATTCTCCTCTTTGTCATCTTTCCGGTTCTTTCCAAAGGAAGCCCCTTTTGGGGGGAAGAAGGGGCGGGGAGGGGGGGAGGCGGGGGTCACCATAGCTGGGACCGCCCTCCTTCCTGTGTGGCCCTTTTGGGAACCACAAGGCCCAGCCCAGCCGCACAGGCCCAGCCCCTGAGCGAGGCCGGAGGAGACCCCAGCCCAGCATGGGCACAGGTGACAGGAGGGGTGGCGGCAGCACTGCAGGGGGGTGGAGGCGTTAGCACATCCCCACGGTCATCCATCCGCCACTCGAAGGCTCTCACTTCAGCAGCGGGCACCCCACCCCTACAACAAGATTCACGCCCACCCCCAAAAAGCAGAGTTCTCCTCACACAAGTTCCACCTCCTCTGCCTGCACCCGGTGGGGGGGGAGGGCTGTGAACCGCTAGGACGTGGCGGGGGGAGGGGGTTTGTGATGGCTAGGATGCAGGGGGAGGGGGAGCTGTGACCGGCTAGGACATGGCGGGGGAGGGGGGCTGTGACCCACTAGGACATGGCGGGGGGAGGGGGAAGGAAACAAAGCCGCAAGGGTCTCCTGCTTTTTTTTTTTCCTTCTTTTTTTTGCAATGTGTCAGACTGAAGCAAACAAGCCAACCTTTGGATTAAGAAAATGAGTTTTTCAAAACCTCAACCTTTTCCTCCTGATTAAAAAAAAAAAAAAATCAGCCGTGGCCGCGTTTCCCCGTGGGAGAGCACGGCACACAAAGCTGGGCGCGGGAACTCACAAACGGGAGGAGGGAAAGCACACCAACACAGGGACGCAAACCACGCCAGCCCGGCCCATGCGGGACCCCTCCCCATCACACCAAAGAAAAGCAAGTCCTTAATTTCTATTGGCAGATGTGGGACAGACACCGAGGGAACACAGGCTGTGCCTCAGAGTATGTCTGTGGACAGGTCATCACCGTGGGTTCCTGGA